ATCATGTTGTCTCATGTTGTCTCATGTTTTGCCTCACTGTTGTATCTGTTGCTAGGTCGTGTCTCACGTTGCGTCTCACGTTGTATCCGGTGATCTTCATGTTGCCTTCCGTGTGTTCATTGTTCGCTCGTTGTGTCTATGTTGTTCTTGCATGTTGTTCACGCCGTTGCTCACGTGTGTTCTCATGTTGCCTCACTGGTTGTCTCGTGATTCGCTGCAGTCTAGCGGAGGGTTCGAGGGATAGAAGCAAGCATGAGAGATTCACGGGAGGCTAGGCACTTGAATTCCCGCGGTCTGCTGACGTTCCAGTACATACGGCGAACGATCACCCCGACTCAGGCCTGCTCAAGTTCAACATCTGAGGTTGAGAAGCGTATTGACTGTAACAACATGCATGCAATAAGACAACAGTACTTATGCACATTGTGCGCATATAAGTGCAACATGCAATATGCACGTTAAAACATGGCCTTAGCAAGGTTCAACATACGACTTCATATACACCTGCAACACGCAAATTCACATTTAGCTAAAATATGCAAAATCGATCCGTTCACACTGACAAGTATGCAACTTACACAGTGCAACATTTAAATACAAGGTGCCTCTATACGGGGGGTATCTGAGTGATACTGTCTGATCTCTGCTTGATTGTTATGTGTAATGTAGCTATCTGATACTGTCGATGTGTACACTATGACACATGTGTTACTACTGCAGATACTGTCAGGCCAGACTGTACGTCGCACGCTGTGTTACCTGCTGATATTCTCAGGTCCTGCAACTGTAGACTACTCAAGTGATGACCGGGTGTTACACAACTTCTTGCACAATATATCATCTATTATTCATCTCGGGCAAGGAGCGGATAACGAGGAGAGCGTACAACGGTGAACAAATGCTATGCAAATTACATGCTGACAGTGATTAGTTCAGGTCGAGTTAGTTAATTAAACTTTCCCCGTTGTATTGTTTGACGATTCTTTGGATGTGGTAATTAGTTGTTTGAGTGTCGCTCTCGCTGGCAACTGTACCTTGTAATATAAAAACAACCGCTGTGCGTTAGATGGAAACAACGGGTAGCGACGGCTGAACGTTTCTGAAGATCAATAATACTGCAAAGAAAATCTTTTTGGTCAAATAAACGAGTTCGGAAGTTTATTAATATCGATCGTAATGACTGCAACATGGTTTCAGCATGCTTTACCGGTTGTACGCTTCTTTCTTTATATGCTTTGATATTACTCTTCTAGTAGTCTATATATATAGGTATGATATGTTTTTATACGATACTGACGGACATGATATGCATCTGCTTGATATTACTCCTGCGGCAATAGATACTCTACGCATGACCTGAGAGATACTGTCTCAGATAGCTATGACGTATATACTATTAACTCATGCCAGTCCTCTCTACGTTAGGATGGCATCTGTATTATGGCTATATTATTTTACTATATATTCCCTATATTACGGCATATGTAGTTAATGGATCTGCTGTGGGCTAACGGGGTTTGGTACTGTCAGATAGCTATGACGTATATACTCAACTATGCGGCGTTGCTGGACCCGGTCCCATCGTCTGGGCGGTTAACTCTTACTCTCCGAGTTATATTTCTTTGGAACGCAGCTTGAAGTTAACTCCTTCACGACTGTGGTAGGTACCGCGGTCCTGATGTTAATCTTTGCATCTTTTATGAGGTATATCTTTCTATTTATTATGACTATGTGCTATTTGTACAGCCTATATCTTAATGCTTAGAGTTCTAACCGTTCGGCATCTGTATTATAAGCTAATTTCACTACGGCTATATATTATATTCGGCTATTGTCGCTGTTACGGCATTTGGAGCCCGGCTTGCCTGCTATTTTGTTCATTGGATAATATACTTTGGCTCTAACGATGGCTCTTCTCTGGCACTCAGAGTCCGATTAAACGAGATTTATCGCGTTTGCGAAGAGTCTTCGCAATTAACAACGAGTTCTGGGGGGCTGGTTTCGCTGGAGCGATCGGAGCTGGTGAGAGTGGGTGATTGCGTGTAGCGTTGGGGCGTGTGGTGCGCGCGCGAATGTGTCGACGTTGCGGTCTGGCAGCGCAGGTAGGTAGGCCTTCCACGCCCTCGCCAAATACATCATTCGGTATTTTGTCTGTGATCTTTCATTTGTTGTTCTTTTTTAAGGGTTTGTCATTCTTCCTAAAAGGGTTCAATATATGGTTCAAACTAGTTTTTTCTCCCCATTCTAACGATTCGAAATAATGGATTAGAGTTACTTACACATTATGCAGATTCTTATATAGTAGATCTAATAAAAGATGGTATTTGATCTCAGTCAGCATGATTGTGTAGTGCTGTCGTGGTGAAACTATAGATATAAGATTGCTTGACTATTAATGCGTTAAGTTCTATATAGATAAGATCTAATAAAAAGATATTGCTATGTTGATTCTGTCAGCATGATGTGTGTCTTGCCGTTGTGAAATATAGGAGTATTAAGATATGCTTGATATAATGCGTAATATATAATATAGTAGAGCTGTAATAACAGATGGCTATTGAATCTCGACAGCATTATGCATTTTGTGTTGTGTGTGCTGTAACGGTAATGGACTTTACAGGGCATCGGCGCAGCTATCTTTCAGGCGGATCATGGTGGCGTTTGATGCGACGAGACGGCTAACATGGCCCGTTCATCAATCACGCTGTCAATGTAAGTACATGCACCCTACCTGCCTTTGTGTATGTGTTTGTGTATGTGGCGTGCATGCGCGCGGCGCGCAGAGAGAATGTGTGTGATGAAGGACGAGTACATGGCCACGCTCATCAACCCAGCTTGTAATGTAAGTACTGCACCTACCTGCCTGTGTGTGTGTGTATGTGCGTGTGCGCTAGCCGTGCGTGTGTGGTGCAAGGCACTTGGTTTAACACTGGCCCGGCTCCCTCCCTCTCGTACTCTCTCTCGTACTCACTCTCTGGTTCTCCCTCTCTCTCGTACTCAC